TATTGTGTTAAATCATTTCAACTCGATTATATGAGGTTGGACATCGTTTGACACACAAATTTCGAAATCGCGATCAAAATTCAATTAATCAACAGCCTTACTCTGAGCACACTTGCCGCTCCATAGATCTTAACTCGGCCTGGTGGCATCATTTGCTTGTCTCCATGGAAAAAAACAACCAAAAAAAAATGTAAATTCAGTGCCATATTGTAGAACATTCTGGGCAAAGTAATAACATCTCCTAGCAGGTTGCCAACAACTAGACCAGAAAAGTACCACAACACACCTTTAACATGACAAAAAGTGAACCTTATTTCCCCTGCTTCACCTTATCTTACTTTGCCTCACCTCACGTAATGACATTGAGAGCAGAATAAAGCCGCACAATGACTTTATTGTTTTCCGTTCTTTACAAACTGTGGCGTGTGCATGTATTTGCTCACCCGACACCACGATGAAAGCGCCCAGTCAGCCCAGGGTGCTGACCCCGATTAGGTAACACACGGCTCCCTTCCTCCGTGTATGGGACCTTAGCTGTCGCCGCGGTGATCCCCACGTGAGGAGCCGCTAACTCTATAAAAACCCCGTGAACAAAAGATGGTGTCAACACTCGATATGCCCCACTGTGGAGGCTGCAGAGAGAGGGAGAGAGAGATGAGGGAGAGAAAGAGGTAGAGAGGCGGGGAGGGGAGGTTGACGGACAGAGAGAGGAAGGGAGGGTTTTGCTTTGCCATATGGTTCTCTCTCTAGACAAAATACACAGATATACTCAACATTATTGGGCCAAAGTAGGGCTGCTCAACATATCTCTATGAAAATCACAATTTGACTTGGCACAATTATAAAATCTCAAAGGCTGCAATTGTTTTGAGAATAGAATGTCCTCTGCAAAGAACAAAATATCCAGTCTTTTAATAGATGTCTTATTCTTGTAATTATTTCTCTATAAACATGGCACAGTGACACACATAAGACTAAAATACACCAAGTTAAATGAAATTATAATTATCATCAATCAAATGTTTATGTGTAATGTAATTTAAAGGTGCACTGTGTAACATTTCTGGTGGCGGGTTTGCCATATGCACACTTAGGCCCCGTCCACACTAGTACGTTTTTGAGTCGTTTTCGTTGTGGATGCAGTAAGTTCCACACTAATCTGATTCAAAACGGCTCCAGAGACGGAACGATCTGGTGCCGCCAGCTCCCACAAATTCATCTGAGCGGATCTGATCCGGTACTGTGACGCCTGAAAACGCTGATATGCTGACGTAGGTCTATGCGCCGCAAAGTAATTCATCACCAAAACACTAAGAGGCTAGAATATATGTCCATTCATATATACGGTCTGTGTGTATGACCTGCAGACGTATAATCTCTGAAAAGCATGAACCATCTCCAACATGACAGAAGCACAGAACAGACTCACCATCAGCAGAACACCCCTCTGTCACAGAAAGAACATTCATATTCCATTGCATCAGCGCACAATAGCGAGCTGTTTTTTGAGCTCTTAGTTTATGCAAATTAGCCATGCAGTTTTAAGTTTAGTTTCTGTAAAACGTAAACAAATATGCTCAAAGCTGTGGGGATAGGGAAGGATTGCGGACACAGAAACGACACGCCTGGATGCAGATCGTTTTCGATACAGTGATACTGTGATTTGTTTCAGTGTAAACGAAGTCTTAATGCTTTGCCTAGAACAGGGGTCTCCAACCTGTAGCTCGGGAGCCAGAAAAGTTACGCACTGCACCTTTTATTGCATTGTTCTCAAAGACTGGTTTGTGACTCTCAAGTGGGTTGCAAGAGATTTTTTTGGGGGGTCGCCTTGTCTCGATCTACATGTAGGTCTGCAATATACTATATACAAATAGATGACTTATGGAGACCTTTTATTGCTTTCATTGTTTAATACTTGAGTATTACTAATTGTTCAGACATGATCACTCATTAATGTTCAATAATGGTCAAATCCACCTTTATTTTACTTTTAACATATGGGTCCCCAGAAAAAAAGTTTGGGAAACACTGTTTTATTGATTTTATATTATGTAATTATTTAAAGGGCCCATATTACACTATTTTCTGTTATAATGTATCACAAATAGACCTGGAGTTGTGTTTTGTTTCATTCACACATGTTTAACACACAAACCCTGCATATTGAGTATGAGTTCTTCTATCAGTTAGAAAACACTCCGCTCCACTTTGTGATGTCATGCGATGATACAGGAAGTGCTTCACTGTGTTTTGAACTCCATACACCTTCATTAGAATCATTTTGATAATTGTTTTAAGGCCTGAAATTGAGAATCTCTGCTGAACTAAAAGTAAAAGTATTTGTTAACTTCAAAACTACGACTTGACATCACAAGGTAGAACAGAGCATTTTGAGCTTTAGACGTTTAGACAGACTAATAATAAGGGATTACTCAAACATGTGTGAATGAAACAAAACACAACTCTAGGTTTGTTTTTGATGAGGTAACAACATTCTAACATGGGTTAAAGCTCACAAGAGTCAGTTTTGTGTAATATAGCACTTTTAAATGTTTACACAAGACTTCTCTACTACATGTGCTTTACATATTGTGATTGGGTTGTGCACCTGTATGCTTCTTCCAGTCGGATTGAACAATTTGTAGCTTGTTGCTGTATCCTAAGAGGAGACAGCCGGCTCCCTGAACAAACCATTAGTTCACTAATTAGAGCTGAGGCTCATTTAACCAGCAGCACAAGTGAAGGGAACAGTGCACAGAAGTCTGCAGTCAAGTTAAACAAAGACACCAGCTCCTCTGCATGTGTCTGGAACCTTTAAAGAACACTGTTTTCTGGTCTAGGGTATAATGGTGTTTGCTCATCAAAACATACCTGGAGCTCTTCCTTCGCTGCTTCCCATCCCTTCCTCAAAACACTCTGCTCCACCTTGTGATGTCATGTGATAATACATGAAGTGCCCACTGTGTTTTTAAACTCCATTCACCTTTACTTGAATGTTTTGGATGATTTTAGGAATTGTCAATCTCTGCTGAAATAAAGGTAAAAAGTGGTTGTTAACTTGAAAACTACTGCTTCGTGACATCACAAGGTGGAACAGTGCATTTTGAGCTTTGGAGATGTAGACAGACTAAATAAAAGGTTGCTCAAAAATGTGTAAATGAAACAAAACACAACCCCGGGTATGTTTTTGATGGGGTAACTACATTTTAACACAATTAAGCTCTCAAGAGTCAATTTTGTGCAATATAGTATCTTTAAGTGAATCTGATGTAATGATCATATACTCTTTTCATAACACTAACAACCTGGAATGTTCCGCAGTAAATCATTCAGCTCCATGAAAACAAGCAGGTGGCACCACAAGGCCATTCATGATACTGTAGGACAGATCTGTATTTGTTTAGCAATAGAACACTTGTAACTGAATGAATGCAAAATAGATAGTTGTAATGCCATAATGTGAAACATTTCCAGGACTACATCAAGACTAAAACCAGGACTAAACCAGGACCAAACACTGAACCAGGACTAAACCAGGACTACATCAAGACTAAAACCAGGACTAAACCAGGACCAAACACTGAACCAGGACTACATCAAGACTAAAACCAGGCCTAAAACCAGGACTAAACCAGGACTAAACAGACTAAACCAGGACTAAACCAGGACTAAACCAGGACTAAACCAGACTAAACCAGACTAAACCAGGACTAAACACTGAACCAGGACTAAACTAGGGTTAAACTAGGACCAAACACTGAACCAAAAACTAAACCAGGGTTAACCAGGACTAAACCAAGACCAAACACTGAACCAGGACTACATCAAGACTAAAACCAGGACTAAACCAAGATTAAACACTGAACCAGGACTAAACCAGGACTAAACCAGCGTTAAGGACTAAACCAGGACTAAACACTGAACCAGGATTAAACCAGGACCTTCATCAAGACTAAAACCAGGACTAAACTAGGACCTAACACTGAACCAGGACTAAACCAGGGTTAAACCAGGACTACATCAAGACTAAAACCAGAATTAAACCAGGACCAAACACTGAACCAGGACTGAACCAGGACTAAACCAGGACTAAATCAGTGTTAACCAGGACTAAACCAGGGTTAACCAGGACTAAAAGAGGGTTAACCAGGACTAAACCAGGACTTACATCATGACTAAAACCAGGACCAAACACTGAACCAGGACTAAACCAGAACTACATCAAGACTAAAACCAGGACTAAACCAGGACTAAACCAGGACTAAACCAGGACTAAACCAGGACTAAACCAGGACTAAACCAGAACTAAAGACTGAACCAGGACTAAACCAGGACTACATCAAGACTAAAACGAGGACAAAAGCAGGACTAAATTAGAACTAAACCTGAACTATCTTCATGGAGACCAAACCAGACCAAGTTAGAGATCAGATCTGTGGAGAGGCGACCCCGCTCACAGTTCAAATGCCTGTTTTTCTTGGTATTTTTGAGTTATAAAACCACCTGTAACTGAATAAAAGTAAGAGCTGTTTAAAGTCATACTGTGGAACATTCCAGGCAGAGCAAGGACCTATCCATAGAAACAAACAGTAATAAAATATCTAACATAAGTGTCCAGGTTGAGTATGAATGTCTCTCCCCGCTCTTCCTCCTCCCTTTTACTTTTACATTTATTCTGTCTAATAAAACCTCCAGGCTGAAAAAAAAAGATGAAAAAACTGTACTTCTGAGTGGCCGTCTATCATTCAAGCTGTCCATAGGCATAACTCGGCTTTGTTGTTGTGCAGTTTGTGACTCATCGGAGAATACATTGATTAAAAATACATAGTTTCTCTCAACCTTGAAGTACAAAGATGCGTTTGAAAAGAGGAGTCCCTGCGCTGCTGGGTTTTACTGTTGAGTTTCAATGAGGAACTCTGTGAAGATGCAGCTGCCTTCTGTACTACTGCTACTGCTTCAGCCTCTCCTAACACGAACTCTCTCTTTTATTCTCATTTCAGGTGAATGTTGACGACACCATTGAAATGTTGCCCAAATCAAGACGAGCTCTGACCATACAGGAGATAGCGGCGTTAGCGAGGTCTTCTCTGCACGGTAAGATCATGGTCCAGGTTTAGTAGACTCCATTGCCACAACCAGAATGAAAGGGAGATTCATCATCATCATCATCATCATCTTTATTCCGGACTCATGGTCCATTTTAAAAACAGACAAGGGCTACGTTCAGACTGCAGGGTTTAACGCTCAATCCGATGTTTTTGCGAGGTCATTCACATTTCCAATTAAATGTGACTTGTATGTGGTCTCCAGTGTGAACATTAAACAGCCCGAAAGTGTCCCACATGCGCAATGGAGGACACAATGACCTCAACCGCAGTGAGCGTGCTCTGTGTTTACGGAAGTTGTCCAAACATGGACGTGAGCATTGAGCACCTGGAGATTTTAAAGTTCCTCTCGTACCGGAGCCAGAACATGAACAACTTGTTTTAAGGAGGAGATTGAGAAGGAGAAGGATGAGGTTTTTGGCCGTGGCGTTTTGTGGGACAGCGGCAACGTCTGTTGAAAGGAACGTGTGGATGTGGAGATTGAGCCAAGAGTGGTGAGTGGCGATGTGCTTCGCTTCATTGACACGGAGTTCAATAACAATTTTCACCGACTTCAGCGCAGAATAGTGACGTTTGATAACGTGTAGGTCGGACGAATGCGCTTTGGCCGTTCAGATTGAAGTCGCATGTCAAAAGATCAGATATGTATCGGTTTCAGGACCACATATCGAAGTGGCCTGGGTCGCATCTGTGTCATTCAGACTGTCATTAAAACATCAGATACAGGTCACATAGGGGCCAAAAAATCGGATTTGGGTCACTTCAGGCTGCAGTCTGAACGCAGCAAGGACAATGACAATACAAAACAATAAACATTCATGTTTTTAAAAGACAGCCATACCAGTGTCTCCACATACTGGACTGATCTCTTATTGCACTGAATCTAACATTTGTGAGTGACATTATTATTTCATTGTCTGATTTGTCCAGTTTGCAGATAAAACTGTACATTAAAATTCTTAGTGCAGCTTGCAAAGTGTTCACTCCTGCAGTAACAAACATTTCAGTCGCACTCGTCCATCGTGGCCTCCTCAAAAGCACCTGGAAAACGTCATTGTAAGCCACCTGCAGTCTTTGCAAACTGTCTTTTTTATAATGAGTCCAGAGGTGAGCTGTGTACAACGGTGAACAATATGATTTAAACAACAACAACTTTACATCATTTGTACAAGAACCAAACTTACGCATAAGAGTATTTACCTGAGCATAGAGCGCCCTACACTGTCTGTACATATCATCATCATCTGTCATGTCCGCACTGATGATATGCCCAAGATATTTCATTTTAGTTGTAACAGACAAATAAATTAAACAAAAAAACAAAATATGTGTACCTTGAAATTACTATTACTTAAATGTGCACTGTGTAACTTTTTTGGAGAGGGGCCCATTTGTCTCCATGGAGATTTTAATGCCTTGGTTTAATTTGTTCTTCATGTGATTGGGGTCGACTCTCCACAAATCTAACCTGTAACTTTGCTTGCAAGTCTCCAAGGAGATGTTTAAGTTTACGGCCATACTGTGGAACATTCTAGACACATCTCTCCATGGAGCATCTTCAAAGGTATACTATGAAACTTATTGCCAGTGTTATAGTCAAGACCGTACTAATCGAGACCAAGACCAGTCTGAGACCACAGGATTCCCAAGACCAGGACAAGACCAAGACTTTTAAAGGCAGAGACCAAGACAAGACCGAGACCACGACAAAATAAAGCCCAAATCGAGACCATCTTTGTCATTTTTGACATGTATTTGTATTTTACAGTTATTTTGGCACATGCATATCAATGTTTTTACAAATCTAACTCCATTTTATCTGATTAATGTTCATTTAATCTTAAAATAAGCCAAGCAAACTGTACTGCACTTAAACACTTCGTCCCTTTTTGGACCATCACCCACAGTTTGAGAGCCACTTCTTTAAAAGAACTTCCACTGGCACTTTACACAAAACTGTGACAAAAGTGAAGAAAGTGGGTAGGATTTTAAAACTGTTTTGTCAAGATTCTGACTGGAGTTACATTCTCTTACTGGTTTTGCAGTGGTATTTACCAGCCTCTGCACATTTTCCAAACGCACGTCGTGACAAATACAGATGCATTTGTGCACTTTTATGAGGCAAACTCCAGCCACATGTAAGAAGTTTATTACTGACAGCAGCGGTAATAATGAAATATGATCGCACTTGACGAGTGTCAGACCTCGAATCTGAGACTAGACGGAATCCAAGCGCCTTCAAGACCGAGACAAGGCCGAGTCCAAATGCGGTCAGGTCCGAGACGAGACCAAGACCATAAAAAAAGGGTCTCGAGGCCGCTCTCAAGACCAAGACCGGTCTCAAGTACTACAGCACTAGTTATTGCTTTGCCTGTTATGTTCCACAGTATGTCTCTAAACTTCTACTTTGCATTTTTCTGTCGTTTTTACTGCTTAAAAATACCCAAGGAAAACTTGAATTCTTATTGTGAGCAGAGTTGCCTTTCCACTAGGGATGTAACGATATGCAAATCTGTCGGTACGATATTATCACGATATGCATCTCATGGTATGATATTTATTACGATATTTTGGGGAAGCTTATATAATTGTAGATGGGATGCTTTTTTGCTTTTAAAATAACTTGACAAGATTTTGGTGTTAATTTCATGTTGCTGAAATGAATTATGGGATACGTAGTTCCCAATGTTTATAAGCTATTTCTAGTATAAAAATGCATTTAAGCAAAGGAACTTGTAATTTGGTATATTGTGATGCCCCACAGTATTAATGTGAGACGTTTGACGATGCGATATCACGATATTTTGGTTATTGTTACATCCCTACTTTCCACAGATCTGACCTGTAAACTTGGCCAATTTGCATTACCATCTTGTCCCAATAAGGATACATACGTTTTTTGCCTTACTGTCTAATATTCCAACAATAACATCTCCATGGAGACTAAAAGGTTATGGACCCTCCAAAAGAAAAGTTACAGAGTACCTATAAGTCTGTTTAGTACTGGTTTGAGCCTAGTTAAGTCTCGTTTGGTTAAATTCTAGTCTTGTTTTGGTCATGGTTTAGTTTAAGTTCTGGTTTAGTCCAAGTTAAGCACGACGTTGATGTGTTTTGTATGCAAATGTGAACACACTCATTGAGATTAAATAGAAATATATAAATTCAGTGCCATATTGTAGAACATTCCAAACAATGCTTTAACATTTCTTTGCAGGTTGCTGATGGCTGCACCAGAAAAGTTACGCAATTCCCTTTTAACAAAACAAAAAACTGACCTTAGTTTACCTCCCTCACCTTATTTTACTTCACCTCATTGAGATCCGATTACACTCACATTAAAAAAAGGAAACAAAAAGTAAACTGTAAAACATATCTATAAGCTGCCTCAGAGCGTATAGTATTCATTGTTATATTATCCAACGAGGTAACATATCTCCTTTTCACAGTAAGTCAAACTATGCAGAAGAATAATTTATTTATAAAATTACTCCAGGAATCGCACGCCTCCTATGTAACTCAAGCCATCACTTCCCACCTCGAGCCGCCAGCTTACATGCTCTAACCTTGCATGTTTAAGGGCGTAGGCGTCCTCATGTTTCTCTGTTTTTCCTCAGGCATCTCCCAGGTGGTGAAGGACCATGTGACCAAGCCCACCGCCATGGCTCAGGGTCGCGTGGCTCACCTGATCGAGTGGAAGGGCTGGTGTAAACCCATGGACACGCCGGCTCTAGAGTCCGACTTCAACTCCTACTCGGACCTGAGCGAGGGAGAGCAGGAGGCACGCTTCGCCGCAGGTAACGCCACACCTATCCCTGCTCCGTCTTTAAGGATGGGATGAGATAACGTACAAGCAGTGGTGGAAGAAGTATTCAGTTTTGTTACTTAAGTAGAAGTACCGATGCCTTGTTTATTTTAATAGTTTTGCATGGGAAATATATTTTTTATCGACCAATGCCAGAGTCCTGCACGGGTCCATTTTTGGAGACCCGCGCAGTACAGTACCGCACCCATTAAACTGAATACTTTGAATGCATATTTTCTATAGTTGAGCATAAAATAAATATTCGTAAACTTTTCAATCAGTCTAATCGTACTTAACATGTATTGTGTGTATTTTATCCATCAGAATACGGATTGAAAAGTTATGACATCAAGAATTACAACCACGAAATGAAATGAAATGGTTACGCTTTTTTCATTACGAATAGGAATTCTGATGTGACTTTACTGTCAAAAATACCTTATCTCTTCACAGGCATTTTTTTATTAGGCAGAAGACTGAACCAGGCCTGAACAAGGAGTAAAATAGGACTATATCAGGACTATATCAGGACTAACCTAGGACTGATCCCAGGACTAACCTAGGACTGATCCCAGGACTAAAACAGGACTAAACCAGGACTGACTGTTGTGTAGACCGTCGAGTGACCGCAGGCGAAAGGACCGGAGCAGAGATCCGCGCCCCACGATGCTAAGCAACCGTCACCCAATTGCGCTTTCCAGACACCCTGCTTCACGCCTCGGGGTTCCCTCTCTCTCTCTCTCTCTCTCTCAAGTCCAAGTTTAGTCCTGGTTTAGACTTGGTTTAGTCTTGGTTAAGACCTGGTTTAGTCCTGGTTTAGATCTGGTTTAGATTTGGTTTAGTCCTGGTTTAGTCCTGGTTTAGTCCTGACCCGCCTGTGTGTAATTACCACATGCCCATAAAATTCCAGAACATTAAAACCCGCCCGTTTCAGCAACTCTTCGCTGGTACCCGACCCGGTGCAGGACTCTGACTTTTGCACGATCTAGACAATTTCTTTCAAGCTCTTGTCCCACTCCTATTGGTCTGATCTGAGAATAATGTGTGAGTAAATACAAAAGATTTCCCCAATATGGAGCCCTTAAATGAAAAGGAACACATCATTTTCTGACACCTTTCTTCATCAACCAAAACATATCTTATCGGTAAAATCCTCCAAAAGGTTTGCCATGTTTCAGCAGCCAATCCTGCACTAGAAAAACATCCAAAAACATCAAAAATCTGCCAAATATACAACTGGACTTACACTACATTTGTGTGAGACCAGTTCTCCTCTGACGACACGAACCTCCACAGAGCGCTGATGGTTTTAGATATGCAGATTATCACCAAAACTCAGGATTTTCATTAGGAGGATTCTAAAAGTAACACATTTTTACACTCTGGCCAAACATGCTGAAAACTTTCTTCAACCCTAGCCGCTCTTAAAACTCTATGCAGCACTGTCCTCCGTCACAGTATAAGCCTACACATACCTCATTACAGATCGGGAGAAGGGTCACTGTTGTCACCCACTTCCTTTATCTTATGTTGACTGTACCGTATTTTATCTACCAGAATCGGCATGAACTCCTCTCTGTTAATATGAACGATCAACGGCTCCATCTAAGATATTACACCTAATAAACATGTAAGGTCGACTCGTATCCTAATATCTGAATTACACGATGTCCTTGATAGTCATTTACTCCGGACGATACAAGATAAAAGACAGACTTTCGTATATCTCTCTCTGAATCACTCCCATACCCTCCAGACCAGACTCATGATCACTCTGATCCTCTCTAACCTCCTCCTATACTCTCCTATCTCCTCCATTATTTTGCCTCTTCACTCTTTCTGCATGTCTCCCTCTCTCTGTCTCTCTCTAGTCGCGCGCTCTGTTCTCACTCTGTCTTTGTCTCTCTCTCTCTCTCTAGCTCTCTCTGTCTTTCATTCTAGCTCTCTCTCTCTTACTCTAGCTTTCTCTCTCTTTCTCCCCCCTCTCTCTTCTTCTCTTTATCTCATTCTAGCTTTCTCTCCCCATCTCTTTCTCTCCCTCTTTGTTATTTCTTTCTCTCTCTGTTTCTCTGTTCTCTTTCCCCCTTTTCTTTTTCTCTCTCTCTCTTTCTCTCTCTCTCTCTCCCTCTGTGTTCTTTCTCTCTCTCCCTCTCTCTCTCTGTGTTCTTTCACTTTGTCCCTCTCTCTGTCTTCTTTCTTTCTCTCACACTCTGTCACTCTCTCTTAGTGTTCTTTCTCTCTCTCCCTCTTCCTCTGTGTTTCTCTCTCTCTCTCTCTCTCTCTCTGCCTCCCTCTCTGTGTTCTTTCTCTTTCTCCCTCTCTCTCTCTGCCCTTTCTCCCTCTCTCTCTCCCTCTGTGTTCTTTCTTTCTCTCCCTCTGTCTCTGTTATCTTTCTCACTCTCTCTCCCTTTTTCTCCCTCTGTTGCACTCTCTGTTCACTCTCTCTCTCTTTCTCTCTCTCTCTGTGTTCTTTCTCTCTTCCCTCTCTCTTCATTTCTCTCTCCCTCTTCCTCTGTGTTCTCTCTCTCTCTCTCTCTCTCTCTCTCTCTCTCTCTCTCTCTCTCTCTCTCTCTCTCTCTCTCTCTCTCTGTTCTCTCTCTCTCTCTCTCTCTCTCTCTCTCTCTCTCTCTCTTCAGACTCCCAAGGTTAATTTGCACAGTGAGGTTTTGCTCGTGGCCACATCCACCATGACGGAGCACTTTTTTTTTGTGTGTGTGCACCACCTCTGCTCTGGGTTATTCATCTTCCAGTGATTCCTATAGCTTTTCAAAGACCTTTATCTCTACTCTCTGATGACGTCCATTTTACTGCAGCTCTTTTACCATTACGCTCTAGTCTTTCGGAGTTCAAAACCGTTTCATTCATTATTGCTATGAAACAAAATGAAGCGAGTGAGATCGGAGGGGCTGATGACGCAGATTGGCAGCCTCTCTTCTATCAGTCTGCCCCAGGGCAACTGGAGTGACAATAGGAGTGTGGAGTGAATGAAAAATACACTATAAAGCCTTTTGAATGTCTTACAAAGCTCTGTACAAATCCAATACATTATTAGTATCATTCAATTATGAGCTATAAACATGACAAACGACGACAGTAATGACTCACTTATGATTGTGGTTAGCAATCCAGGTCTGATTCTAAGGTTGTTTTTCAGTATGGAGTTCCCCTCAGGCCTGTCACGATATGTTCCATTTCATTCTATTCCATTATCTTCTGCTTATCTGGGGCCGGGTCGCGGGGACAGCAGTCTGAGCAGGGCCTGATAGAATTCCCTCTCCACACACACTTCCTCCAGCTCGTCCGGGGGGATCCCGAGTTGTTCCCAGGCCAGCAGAGAGACATAGTCCCTCCAGCGTGTCCTAGGTTTTCCCTGGGGCCTCCTCCCGGTGGGACGTGCCCGGAACATTTCTCCAGGGAGGTGTCCAGGAGACATCCGGAACAGATGCCGAGCCACCTCAGCTGGCTCCTTTCGACGTGGAGGAGCAGCGGCTCTACCCCAAGCTACTCCCGTGTGACTGAGCTCCTCACCCTATCTCTAAGGGAGTGCCCAGCCACCCTGCGGAGGAAACTCATTTCGAGCGCTTGTATCCGCGATCTTGTCCTTTTGGTCATTACCCAGAGCTCATGACCATAGGTGAGAGTAGGAATGTAGATTGACGGTAAATCGAGAGCTTCGCCTTTCAGCTCAGCTCCCTCTTCATTACAACAATCACAATGGCCCGATACAGCGACCGCATCACTGCCGACGCTGCACCGATTCCGCCTGTCAATCTCACACTCCATCCTCCCCTCACTCATGAACAAGACCCTGAGATACTTGAACTCCTCCACTTGAGGCAGGGACTCTCCACCCACCCGGAGAGGACAAGCCACCTTTTTCCGGTCGAGAACCATGGCCTTGGACTTGGAAGAGCTGATCTTCATCCCAGCCGCTTCACACTCGGCTGCAAACTGCTCCAGTGCAGTATGATATGTTCAACAGTGATATATCACAAAGAAATATCAAGATACATGATAATATTGAAACTTCTTGCTACTATGCCACTGATACAAAGCAGAATAATCCCAGTAAAATCTTTATACAGCATGAGCTGCAACAAATGAATTGCAAAATTAACTAATAATAACCATAGAAGTTAATCTACTCTCTACAGCTCCAATCTTACGTTATTGCATAGAAATGGCAAAAAACTGTACTCGTGATAAATACTGAACCCCAAAAAACCCCAAAAGTCGATATAGTACTTACCATGACAGGCCTAGTCCCTCTTTTTGTAGCGAAGTTGCTATTTCTCCATCTGGGGATTTTTTAACCTAGCTTCTGAAGAATACTGGAAATAATTAACTGTGTTTTAACCTTAACCTCTCTAAAACTGCAGCGTGGGTGGTGTTCACAGTCCAAAATGGTCCAAGGAAGAAATATTTGTACATTTCAAGTCTCTTAAGATGTTAAAAACAAAGAATTAGGGCCCGACTAATATGAATTTTTTTGTAGCCAATATGATACAAATAAAATGGGAGTTGGAGGTGCCAGTAGCCGATATAAAAGCCGATATATTGATGTAAAAATTCACTATAAAGCTTCAATTGATTATAAAACTTAGGTCTGGCTCTACTGGATTTTAAATTGGGTTTGTTTAGGCAACATTTACTGTTATTTTGACTCTTTACAGTCATATTTATAGACAGTAGGTCGGCCTAATGGCATTTTTGCATCACATTCTAGTTAGTAAAGAAAGGAAAAACTGCCGCTATCAGCCTTTAGCGCCGCTGTAATTAATCATATGTGTAAATGCCGATCATTCACACCTCTATTCACTGCTCATTTACATATAAATGCGTGTCTAGTAACGTGTTCATAGCCACTATTGACACTTTACAGTAGGACAATGGAAGAGAAAACGTGTTTATGTGTGGGAGCTACAGCAATGAGACAAAACAATGAGAAAGAATCAAAAGTAGCTTTAAAAACCAACACATTGGCAACACTCA